AATGGAGCTAAAACAATTACCGTCCATACTCTACATAGTCATATACAAACCTCCTCAGCACTGTCAAAGTTTTATTGATGATTTTACTGAGATGCTTTCAGTTGTTTGCACAGACTTTGATGGTTTAGTCATTACAGGTGATTTTAATGTACATGTGGATAATGTGTGTGACAAAAATGCCAAAGAGCTTAGTGTTGTCCTTGAAACTTTTGGTCTGACTCAGCATGTCAGTGAGCCCACTCACAACAGAGGACACACTCTGGACCTGCTCATTACAAAGGGTGTAAATATTTCAAATGTCAGTGTGGTTGATGTTGCTCTGTCTGATCATTTCTGTGTCTTCTTTGACCTGTCTGTTATTCCCAAACCACCGGCTGCTCCTACAGTTGTTCGAAGGAGACACATAAATGATAACACAGGTGCACTGTTCATGGAAATGATACATTTTGAAATTGCCTCATGTTCTAATGTTGATGATGTGTTGAACTCTGTGACTTTGAGTGTTTTGAATGTTCTGGATGCCATCGCTCCGATAAAGGTTAAAGTGGTTAAAGATAGGCAAAAAGCTCCGTGGAGGAATGATGACTCAGTCAGGGCACAGAAAAGGGAGTGCCGGAAGGCTGAGCGGAAAATGGCGCAAGTCAAACCTCCAGGTTCATTATGAGATTTACAGAGGAACAATGCATATGTACAACTACACTTTGAGTAAAACAAGAGAGAAGTATTTTTCGGACATTATTGGTAATTGCAGTAACAACTCTCGTGTCCTGTTTGCAACAGTGAACAGATTAACAAACCCTCCAGCTCCACTGCCACTAGAACTAATTTCCACATCTAAATGTAATGAGTTTGCAGTTTTCTTTAATGACAAAGTTCAGGGCATCAAAAATGCCATCAATTCCACAACACAAATAACAAGCATGCAGCCACAGAGACACTTAGAGCTGAATCACTTTGCACCTGTAACTGACAAAACTGTTTTAGAGATCGTTACCAGTCTGAGTTCATCTACTTGCTGCCTGGACATGTTACCCACTAGATTTCTAAAGTCCGTCCTCAACAGTTTACTTTCACCACTCACTCACATAGTTAACATGTCACTTCAATCTGGAACATTCCCAAATGCGTTGAAAACTGCGGTCATTAAGCCTCTCCTAAAGAAGAGCAGTCTTGATGCCACAGTACTGAACAATTTCAGACCCATCTCAAATCTGCCGTTTTTTGGCAAAGTCCTTGAAAAAGCTGTTTACCAACAGCTTACGAACTTTCTCCAAATGAACAAACTCCTTTGATGTTTTCCAGTCAGGTTTTAGAGCCCACCACAGCACTGAGACTGCTCTTATCAAGGTGACAAATGACATCCGCCTGAACACTGATGCAGGCAAAGTCTCAGTCTTGATCCTGTTAGATCTGAGTGCTGCTTTTGACACTGTCGATCATGGGATCCTCTTACAGAGACTAGAGGACTGGGTGGGCATCTCTGGTACTGTACTAAACTGGTTCAAGTCCTATCTAGAAGACAGGAAGTATTTTGTTGAAATTGGAAACTGTGTCTCAGATGACATGGCCCTGACCTGTGGGGTGCCTCAGGGGTCAATCCTGGGCCCCCTGTTGTTCAATCTCTACATGCTGCCATTAGGCCAGTTAATAAGCAGCAATAACGTGTCGTACCACAATTATGCAGATGACACTCAGATCTACGTCTCTCTGGCAGCAGGAGACTATGGACCAGTGGACTCACTTGGTCACTGCATCCAACAGATCAGTGTGTGGATGCAAAACAACTTTCTCCAGCTAAACTCTGACAAGACTGAAGTCATAGTGTTTGGTCCACAGAAACAAAAGGGACAGTGTCAGCAGTCACCTCCAGTCTCTCGCTCTAAAACCTTCAAATCAGGCAAGAAATCTAGGGTAATAATGGACTCAGACTTGAACTTTAACAGTCACATAAAATCAATAACATCTGCAGCCTTTTACCATCTAAAAAACATAGCAAAAATCAAAGGTTTACTGTCTAAATCAGACTTGGAGAAACTTATCCATGCATTTGTCTCCAGTAGGTTAGACTACTGTAATGGTCTGCTCACTGGTCTCTCCAAACGAGCTGTGAGACAGCTGCAGAACATCCAGAACGCTGCAGCTCGGGTCCTTACTCGAACTAGGAAGTACGAGCACATAAGTCCTGTGCTCAGGTCTCTGCACTGGCTCCTGTGCCTCAGAGAATAGACTTTAAAGCAGCTCTGCTTGTGTACAAGTCTCTCCATGGCCGAGCACCAAAGTACATCTGTGACATGTTAGTGTCATATGAACCATCTCGCACTCTGAGGACCTCAGGGACCGGCCTCCTGCTGGTGCCCAGAGTCAGAACTAAACAAGGGGAGTCAGCATTTCAGGTTTATGCAGCTAAAACCTGGAACAGTCTGAACATGTGAGACAGACTCTTCTGTGACGCTGTTTAAATCCAGACTCAAAACATTTCTGTTTAACTGTGCATATAACTGAAAGGTTTTCATTCCGCACTCTTCTCTCCAATTTATGTCTCTCTTTTTTAATTTTAATCTTCATGATTATTTATGTTTTGATTTGTTTTTATTATGATTTTAATGTATTTCTTATTCTGTAAAGCACTTTGAATTACTTTGTGTACGAATTGTGCTATACAAATAAACTTGCCTTGCCTTGCCTTGCCTTGAATTAAGAAAGTTTTATCATGATTTGAGTAAATTTCACTTGACAAATAAAATTATCTTGGCCAGGCTGGCACCACCTAGTGTCTCTGTTCAATTTCATTTTTCTCCAGCGACTAGGTCAGGAATCAGAATACACTAGACAATTTGCAAGAACCCCGAAAGTGCAAGTCCAGGCACCAGCCAATCAGCGAAGAGCCATACATTCTGTGTTGGCAACGATTCCAAAGATCAATGATTTAAAGCCAGAATAAAGAGAATGTTTGGTGAATTTTATCAAGTAGAAAGACGTTATTGCCCTTCTTCCTACGGGATTTGGCGCTTTACATACGTCACGACCAAATAGCAGCGATTGGTTAAATGAAAAAAAGTACCCGCCTACCTTCGAGCGAATGAATTCTAATGCTGTGAGGTCAGACGGTTTCCACAAAGTGAAACCAACTGATAAATCAGGCTAAAATTATTACCAGTGGAATAAGAGTTTTTGTACTTAAAATATGAAAATACATCTTGCTACACTTAAGAAGAACAACTACTTTTTGCACTTAAAATAAGAAACAAAATCTAATGTTGCCTGAATTAAGAAAAACACACTTATTCCATTGGTAGATGACTTTACTTGTCAAGTTGAATCTACTCAAATGTTCTTAATTTAAGTAATTTTAACTTACCTAGACATTGTTTTTTTCCAGTGCAGTCCACTCTGGCAGCAAGCTCCTGGCATGCTCTGGGGCAGACTGATGAAAGTGAGGTTGCCAATGATAAATAGTCACATTTTTATGCAGCGCTTTCCACCTTCAAGGCTCTCAAAACACTTTAAAACAATGAGCCACTCACCCATTCACACCAGTGTTCCAAGTACACAACAACAGCGTTCATCTGAGGGAACTGGAATCGTACAGCCAGCCTGTGGGTCCCTGGATCTGACCGCTCTACCAGTGATGTTTTATGTCGCGAATGGGACTCAAACCACCAACTTTCAGATCAGTGGACAAACGCTCTACCAACTGAGATACTGTCGTCCAATCTGTACCATCGGCCCCTCCATCCACAACACCATGAAAATAAACAAAGACACATTGGCAGTTTTGGGATGAGTGTCTCAGAGATCAAATGTGAGTGGGTATTAACAAGACAGACACCCCTCACTGTTACCTTTGAAACAGGTCTGCCTACTTTGCCTGCAGGGTCAAAAAGCCTCACTCCAGACTAAATTTTGGCATCAACCATATTTTTTTGATGAAGAAAGAACAAAAATGTGGCTGTTTGCTGCAGGTGTTCCAATCAGTAGGAGCAGGTAGAGCAGGGGTGTCAAACTCATTTTGGTCTGGGGGCCATATCCAATCTACTTTGATCCCAAAGGGGCCAGATCAGAAAACTCATGGCATATAAACCCCAAAAATAACATTAAGTTCAAATATTTGTGCAGAGAAACACAAATCTATTACAGAAATCTTTTTTTAATTGATGAACTCTTTCTTTTACAAAATATTATAATATTATGAACAACCTGAAACTTTAAGAAAAATACAATTTCAACACAATGTTTTAACTTTAACTTGTATGCAAATAGGAATAAATAATTTTTTCTTGGAAAATCCTGCACTCAGCTCCGCTTTTCTCATGTTGGACATTTTTCTGATGAGGGTGTCATGGTCAACAGTCAAAACGATCGTCCTTTAAGAGCGTTTGGAAAGAGACAAGTCTTCATTTGTGCTGCTCTGGTGGGAGGGGCCACGTACAGAGACGCTGGAGACGCTGCTGTGATAAACACCACAGAATATTAACAATATCAGTCAAGGGCCAGATTAAAGGTCTTGGAGGGCCGGATCTGGCCCCCGGGCCGTATGTTTGACACCTGTGAGGTAGAGGATGCTCTTGGAAAAAAGGATCAAAACTCAAACACAACGGATTCCAGGCACTCCAAACAAGTAGAAAAAGTTAAAAATCGCACGAGGAAAAATGATAGTTAAAAGGCCCATTCAAGCCCTGATGAAGACCAGTTAAGGTCGAAACATGTTGGCTTTGGCCATTCAAATAAAGACCTTTTAACTATATTTTTCCTTGTGCGTTTTTTTTACTTTTTCCTGCTTGTTTGGAATGCCTGGAATCCATTGTGTTTGAATGTTTTTTTGATCTTGAAAGCTTTTTGGAAAACATCTATTCCGATTTATGGCACATCTAAACTTTCTCAGGAGCAATTTCTGTCCTTTATGCTGGACCAAATGTGCTTGTCATTCCACAGTACCTCTTTTTAACCACTAGAGGTCATCAGTGCACTTCAGCATTAACACAGACAGAAGAAAGAGACACTCCAATGTGCAACAATTTAATTTTGATAAAGAGACTCAAAAAATATACATATCTTTTCTAGAAAATACAAACAAAAGAACTATATTCTCGTGAGTGGGGTCTGTTTTTAAAATTTGGCCCAAAAAAAAACACATTTCTGTCTGGAGCAACCATGTAAATGACAAGAATCCTTAAAAAACAAAGCTCCACTAATTCTCATGATACGCACAAAACAGATGTACAAGTGGAATATAAACGCCATTTTTTTGTGATAACATCGAGTCAAAAGTGTAGAAGTAAAAGCATTCATGTCCTGGCCAGTTAGTCACGTTTAAACTCGAGTATTTACAGTATAGTAGTGCTGTTTCACATTTCACCTACAGTTATATATAAAGCTTGTTTGGTTTGAAAAAGTAGTGCACTCATCACTGACAACTTTCATTTGTACCACTGCATATTCATACGCCTCCTCTTTTCCCTGATTTCTCCCTCTCTCCTTCCCTCTCTCTTTTCTCTTTCGTTCATGCTGCTCCTTCGTTCCTCTGGTGAAACAGTTGTTCCACGACTTTAGGATCGGCCAGAGTGGACAGGTCTCCCAGATCTCTGTCGTTACGAGCGACCTGCCTCAAAACTCGCCTCAGGATCTTACCTAGAGAAAAAAATACACACAAAAATATACTTTAATCCTGGTTTATCCTGGTGCCACTTTAGTCCTGGTTTAGTTCTAGTTTTGATCTAGTTTGGTGCCACTTTAGTCCTGGTTTGGTTCTAGTTTTGTCCTAAGTTTGGTGCCACTTTAGTCCTGGTTTAGTTCTAGGTTTGGTGCCACTTTAGACCTGGTTTAGTTCTAGTTTTGTCCTAGTTTGGTGCCACTTTAGACCTGGTTTAGTTCTCGTTTTGTCCTAGTTTGATGCCACTTTAGTCCTGTTTTAGTTCTAGTTTGGTCCTAGTTTGGAGCCACTTTAGACCTGGTTTAGTTCCATAAGGTAGGCCTGGTACAGTCCAAGATAAGTCCTGGTTTAGTTCTAGTTTAGTTCTAGTTTGGTGCCACTTTAGTCCTGGTTTGGTTCTAGTTTTGTCCTAGTTTGGTGCCACTTTAGTCCTGGTTTAGTTCTAGTTTTGTCCTAGTTTAGTGCCACTTTAGTCCTGGTTTAGTTCTAGTTTTAGCCTAGTTTGGTGCCACTTTAGTCCTGGTTTAGTTCTAGTTTTAGCCTTGTTTGATGCCACTTTAGTCCTGGTTTAGTTCTATAAGGTAAGCCTGGTACAGTCTAAGATAAGTCCTGATTTAGTTCTAGTTTTTTCTTGGTTTTGTAGTCTTTGTTTAGCCCTGGGTTAGTCCTAATTTAGTCCTAGTTTAGTCCTGGTTTAGTTCAGTGGAGATTGTGTTTCACCTGAGCGTGTTTTGGGCAGAGCTGGAGCGTTCTGGATGAAATCTGGTGTAGCGATTGGTCCAATTTTCTCTCTCACTAAAAACACACAAAAGTTCAAACGAGTTAAATAAAACTACATAATGAAAACACTTACTGGCTAAGGTTAAGGTCAAGGTCAAGGGCGTAGGTTTGCACAGGAACGGTGGGGACATGTCACAACTAGACAAAATAGCCCCTACCAATATTTGCCATTTTATTTTAATAAACAAAAACATACATTTATTCTGATATTTTTCCAAATTCAGTAGTATTAATTTAAGACGTTTTAGTTCACATTTTGTTTATTACAACCTCTGAGATGTATTCAGTGATATGATGACAGGGTTACACCTGCCACTATTTCATTGGCTGCAACAGAGTGATGTCATGAGTGGAGCCAGGAGCCTAAACTGGGGAAGCGGCAGGACAGGGCCAGCACCTGAAGATGGCGACTTGAGCAGGCGTGAGTGAAGACGCTGCGCAATTAACTTTGAAAAACTTTTCAAAAGGAACTTACTTGGCTTCATCTTCAATTAAACTTGCCTTAGAATGAGTCACCGTGAAACTATCACCGTGCGACTATCACCACCAAGTACACCTCCCAAACGGAATTCTACTCTTGCACTGTGAGCAGCTGGAATCTACTGACAATATTCCATGGAAAAATGTTTGGACATGACCTCACAAATATCTCATCAGCAACAAGCAAAGGGAAATCTGCTACAAACTTCTACATCGCTGTTATCCACTAAAGAATCATCTTAGAAGGACAATGGACACAAACTGTACTGAAAAATGAACTATCTCTCAATTATTTTGGACCTGCCCAGACTCTGAGTGTTTTTGGGAAGAATTAATTAAACATATATGCAGCTTCTTATCCCATTTTACCCTTTCTTATAAGGATGTGCTGTTTGGTTTTTGCAGTGTGCATCATATGAAATATTATGTAATTAATCTGTTAATCAAGTAACCTAACCAAACCTATATCCTTGGTTAAGGTTAAGATACACTTTATTGGTCCTCTGCATTTGACCAATTCTTCAGTGTCTCCAGAGTGTCCCCTCAAAGCAGAGAGCACCACAGAGCAGCGCTGAAGAACACATCTCCGTGATCTTGAGCTACTCTTGGTCAGGACGATCTTAGCTGGAGAATTAAACCTTTGGTGCATGTTTTGGGGATGATGGAGGAAACCAAAGTGTCCAAAGAAAACCAACCCAGACACAGAGAGAAACACGCAAAAAGTGCTAAGTACCAACAACACTTTCTGAGATAACCATGAGCGAAACATTTGATCTGTTTTGTACATTTAATTAAAAGTGTAAATCTTCATTCTCACCCAGAGTCTTGAGCTCCTGCACCAGGCTGTGGTTAAACTCAGACGTTCCCTTCAGAGAGACGAAGCAGTGCAGACACTCCCCTTTGACCTTATGAGGGCGCCCCACCACGGCCGCCTCTGCCACCCCAGGGTGCTCTGTCAGGGCACCCTCCACCTCCGCGGTACTCAGCAGGTGACCTATAACATTGTGTAAATGTAAGGTTTTTTTTTTAAATGTATTATCCACAGAGTTTTATTCTGTGGGTGTAACAACAAAACAACAAAACAACAAAACAATCCTCAGATTTGTTTAAAACTGCATTTAAACTTGTCCAGGTCCAGTCCTAGATGAGTCCTGATCTAGTCCTGTTCTAATCCTGATCTAGTCCTGGTTTAGTTCTGTTCTAGTCCTGTTCTTGTCCTGGTTGAGTCCTGATTGAGTCCTGGTTTAGTCATGGTCTAGTCCTGTTCTAGTCCTGGTCCAGTCTTAGTTTAGTCCTGGTTTAGTCCTGTTCTAGTCCTGGTTTAGTCCTGTTCTAGTTCTGTTGTAGTCCTAGTATAGCCCTGGTTTAGTCCTGGTTTAGTCCTGTTCTAGTCCTGGTTTAGTCCTAATCTAGCCCTGTTCTAGTCCTGGTCTTGTCCAGTTTTAGTCCTGGTTTAGTACTGGTCTAGTCCTGGTCTAGTCCTGGTCTAGTCCTGGTTTAGTCCTGGTCTGGCCCTGTTCTGGTCCTGGTCTAGTCTTAGTTTAGTCCTGGTTTAGTCCGGTTCTAGTCTTGATTTAGCCCTGGTTTAGTCCTGATCTAGTCCTGGTCTAGTCCTAGTTTTATCCTGGTTTAGTCCAAGTATAGCCCTGATTTAGTTCTAGTTTAGTCCTGTTCCAGCCCTGTTCTAGTCCTGGTTTAATCCTAGTTCAGTCCTGGTCTAGCTCTGTTCTAGTGCTGGTCTAGTCTTAGTCTAGTACTGTTCTAGTCCTGTTTTAGTCTTAGTTTAATCCTGGTTTAGTCCTTCTAATAAAGCGTGTGTTTCTGTAGTTTTAGTCTCTGTGTTTGTACCTGACACGTTGAGCATGTCGTCGATTCTTCCTGTGATCCAGTAATATCCGTCTTTGTCTCTCCTGCAGCCTGGAAAAGACAAAACAGTGCCTACAGTTAGAACAATTTTTTACTTTTTTTGGAATTAATAAAACAATTGTCCTTTGTCTCTTACCGTCCCCCGTCACGTAGAATCCTGGGAATTTCTTGAAGTAGGTGCTTTCAAATCTGTCCTGGTTTTTGTACAGTGTCCTCATGATCCCAGGCCACGGCCTCCTGAACACCTGCAGTACACCACCGCAGAATTACTACTACTACTATTAATACTACTACTACTACTACTACTACTACTATTACTACTGCTGCTCTCTTCTCCTGTCTCTCTCTTCATTCTCATCTTGTCTCTTTCTCCTCCTTTATTCTGGTTAAACGGTTGTTCCACGACTTTAGGATCAGACAAAATGGACAGTCCTCACCTTCTGTCCTCCTTCTCTCCTTCCTTTCTCTCTCTCTCTCTCTTCTCTTTCATCTCTCTTCTTTCCTCTCTCTCACTCTCTCTCCTCTCTCTCTCCTCCTCATCTCCTCTCTTTCCTCCCACTCAGTCTCTTCTTCCCTCTCTCTCTCCTTGCTTCCTATCTCTCCTTCCTCTCATTTTTCCCTCTTTCCTCCTTCTCTCCTCTCTTCTTCCCTCCGCTCTCTTGCCTCCATCTATCCTCTCCCTCTTTCCTTCCTCTCTTCTCTCTTCTTCCCTCTCTCCTCTCCCTGTTTCCTCCCTTTCTCCTCTCTTCTTCTTCCCTCTCTCCTCTCTTCTTCACTCTCCTCTCTCATCTCTTCCTCTCTCTCTCCTCCTTCTCTCCTCTCCCTCTGCTCTCATCTCTCTCTCTCCTCTCCCTGTTTCCTCCCTTTCTCCTCTCTTCCTCCCTCTCTCCTCTCTTCTTCCCTCCCTCTCACCTTCCTCTCTCCTCTCCCTCTCTCCTCTATTCCCCCACCTCTCTCTCTCTCCTCCCTTTCTCCTCTCTTCTTTCCTTTCTCTCTCTCTCCCCCCTCCTCCTCTCCTCTCTTTTTCCCTTTCTCTCTCTCCTCCCTCTCTTCTCTCCCTCTTTCCTCCCTCTCTCTCTTTCTCTCTCCAAATGATTCTAGTGAAGGTGTATGGAGTTTATAAACACACTGGAGCATTTCCTGTATTACCACTCAGTGACATCACAAGGTGGAACAGAGTGTTTTCAGTCTGAGAGAAGAACTCAGCCTAAATTTACAGGGTTTGTGTGTTAAATGTGTGAGTGAATGAAACAAAACACAACTCCAGGTCTGTTTGTGATGAGGAAACAACATTATATCATAAATATGGACACTTTAAACTTTACTTTAACAGATTTTTTTAACAAATGCTCCTATGAATAAACAATAGAAATAAAATAATAATCAAAATGTCTAAAATAGCTGTAACCAAAATAACTAAATAAATAATACAGTATTTACCAGATACCCCTCGCCCTCTCCCTCCAGCTCCTCTCCGTGCTCGTTCAGAATGGTCGGCTCCACTCCGAAGAACGGGAACGTCTGGAAATCACAAAGTATTCATGATATTTGCTCGGATATTCTGTTGTTTGTTTAAATCTGAAATCGTGATGGGGAAACTTACCGCAGAGCCCGGTTTGAGAGGAGTCGCTGCAGGAAGAGGAGTGAGCACGTGACCTCCCTGTGGACAAAAAAAATTCTCAAGTGAAATGATAAACTACTTAATAATTACTTCAGTGTTTGGTCTATCATGGTCATTACTATATTGACTCAATATATTATAGCTGAAATGATATATTTTGGGACATTTTCTTTGCAATAATTAAGAGATTTGTGTTATTTTAGTTGTAATATGAGTGAAAGAGTAACTTGCAATTTATTTGTTGCATTCATGTTAGAATGTTAGTTGTGTTTTGTTTCATTCACACATGTTTGAGTAACTCTTTATTATGTGTCTGTTTACATCTGCAAAGCTCAAAATGCTGTGTTCCACCTGGTGATGTCATGATGTAGTGGTAGTTTTCAAGTTAACAGCTCCTTTTAGCTTTGGTTCAGTAGAGATTGGCAATTTTGGGGCTGAAATGATCCAAATTACTCTATTGAAGGTGTATTAAAACGTGGAAGAGAGTGTTTCCAGTTCCAGGGTTTGTGCGTTAAACGTATTCTGTTTGTGATGAGGAAACATTATAACATAGATCAGAAAATAGCGTAATATGAGCCCTTTAAATGTCTATTTAAAATGATTTACTGCAGGGGTCTCCAACCTGTAGATCTCCACCCCCTTCCAAGTAGCTCACCAAGGGATTTCAGAATTGTGCTGATTAACTAAAATTTGTTTAATTACATGCCTATTACTATTATAAATGTATAATTTTGAAGCCCAACTTTGACTTTGTGCACTATTAAAAGGACAATGTTTTATGTTTTATAGGCATCTAACTGTGCCCTTAACCTGATTCATCCGCCTGGTTTCACCTCGTGGAAACCGTCTGACCTCGCAGCATTAGGATTCGTTCGCTTGACGGTAGGCAGTTACTTTCTTATTTAACCAATCGCTGCTATTTGGTCGTGATGTATGTAATGCGCCACTAACGGGGCTAACTGGTATATTAAGCTTTTCCCAAATCCCGTAGGAAGAAGGACAATAACATCTTTCCTCTTGATAAAATTCACCAAACAAATCTCTTTGTTCTGGCTTTAAATCCTCGATCTCGGGAATCGTTGCCAACACAGAATGATTGATTGGCTGGTGCCCGAACTCGCACTTCCAGTGTTTTTATGAACCGACTAGTGTATTCCAATTCCTAGTCTAGTCGGTGGAGAGAAATGAAATTGAGCGGAGGCACTAGGTGGCGCCAGCCTTGCTACTGTGCCCCAAGACTTGCCCTCTTTCTTAAAATTGTCTCTGTCTTACTGCCGTTAAAATGAGAAGCTCTTTGGAATTTTTGTTTTGTACAATATCTTGGAGGAAAAAAGGTTGGAGAGCCCTGATTTACTGGGATTCTACTGCTCACCTTGATTTGATTTCCCCCTTACATTCATCCCACAATATTTTCAGGAATGGTTTTAAGATCCAAAATACATAAAAACACTATTCCACGTACTACCATACTAAATATTACTCTAAAGCGTGTGTGATGTTTTGTGTGATCTGTTGTACTCACAGTCTCGGTTTGCCAGAAGGTGTCCACCACAGGACACTGGGCCTGTCCCACCACAGAGTGATACCAGAGCCAGGCCTCAGGGTTTATGGGCTCCCCCACAGAGCCCAGGATCTGCAGACTGGACAGGTCGTACCTGAGGGGCAAGAGGCAAAGAGCATGTATGTATGAATCAAAGTAAGAAGAATCAAATATGAAGTGCTTAAAGTGGGACTAAACATCTAAACTTCGGCCACAACACATTTCAAATAGAGCTGTTGAACCTGGCACTACGTTGAGTACTAAACAGTAGAGGTGTAACAATATACAAGTCTCATATTTATTGCGATATCGTGGGAAAAGTCATGATATGGTGGAGAGGCTCACGATTAGAGATGTAACAATATCTAAATCTCTCGGTACGATATTTTCACGATATACATCTCACAGTTTGATATTTATTGCAATATTTTGTGGAGGCTAAACAGCTAAAACTGTTAATATGCTACTTTTTCCTCTTAAAACGCCTTGACAAAACTTAATCCAAAGAACTAAGGCTTAAAAGTGTTTAAGAACTGTTATTTCTTCTTGTAGTCTGCACTGAAATGGAGCAAAGGATCATGGTCTATGTAGTTCTGTTTTTTTTAGCTATTGCTGCACCATAACAATGAATTTAAGCAGAAAGACTTGTAATTCGATATATTGTGATGGCCCACAATATTATTATAAGAACTTTGACGATACAATATCACATTATTTTGGTTATTGTTACATCCCTACTAAACACAAGAGTGAGTGAAATTATTAGGGAATTCATAACTGTTACCTACAACCAGGCTATACACTGGTCCAAAACTCCACTAATGTACCATGTGAAAAAATAATAATTAAAGTATCAGAAAAATGTGTTTTTTACATGTAAATTGCACCAACTCTATTTATTTTTGCACATTTATAACATATAACAACAAAAAAGCACATTAAATTAGATTTTAAAAAGTAGTCGCCAGAAAAGGCAAAAAAAAAAAAAAAAAAACACCAAAGGGCTTATATTAAAATTACCCACACTATGAATGAATACTGTAAAATTGAACATTGAACATTCACAACATAGCTGTGAATTACAAAAAAATTACATTTACACATCTTAGATTAAATATATTTGATTCAAACATAGATTAAAATATCCACATCCACAATTGAATGATTATGAAACATTATCATAAAATATCAAACATCTCTCTGGTGTGATGCCATCAAATTACTCTCTACTCTCTACTTATTGTCATTTTCAACATGTTTTTAATTTTTTCATCACAAATTGCATCTTTATTTGTGTAAAACTATAATTTATATTAACAACAGGTATCATCCCACCAACTTAACAACTTAAAATCATAGAATAAAAACCCTTACATGGCCATTTACTCACTTTTGCACCGTCTCTCGTCCGTACTTCATGAGCAGGCGGATGGCGGTGGGGGCTGTGTAAAACTTGGTCACTTTGTATTTTTGGATGATCTCCCAAAGTCTTCCCACGTGAGGATAGGTGGGGATTCCTTCAAACTGAAAAACAACATTCAGAAAAGATAATTTGTTTTCTTCAAGAGTCAACTCAACCAGGAAATGTAATGTCAGTGTTCAGCCAATTACAGCCTCCTGGGAATCTGTAGTTAGACAATGTGAATGAAAGACAATTAAGGATTTCAGTCTTGTTTGCTCACTGTGTTTAAAATTGTGAAGAATTGTGTTTCTATATTACTCTAAAGTGACTCTTGTGAGCTTTAAGTCATGGTAGAATGCTGTTACCTCCTCAAAAACATACCTGGAATTGTGTTTTGTTTCATTCACAAATGTTTGAGTAACTCTTTATTATTAGTCTGTTTACATCTCTAAAGCTCAAAATGCTCTGTTCCACTGTGTGATGTCATGAAACGGCACTTTTTATGGCTACGTTCAGACTGCAGGGCTTGCATTTTTTTGTGAAACACGATTTTTTTGCGAGGTAGTTCACATTTCCAATTAAATGCGACTTGTATGTGATCTCCAGTGTGAACTTTAAACGCCTCAAAAGTGTCCCACATGCGCATTGGAGGACACGACGACGTCACACACAACAAGCATGCTCAGTGTTTACGGAAGTTGCCTAAACATGGACAATACACTGCCGAACAACTGGAGAACGTGATGGATCCGTGCGTGGTGATACGAACGGAGAGAAACTTAGTGCCAAGCGATTATGAGGTCTAACTGAAAGTTTTGTGATGCAAATGTATCACTCTTTTGAACACATATTGTTTTAAGAAGAAAAACGCTTTATTTTAATGTCCCCAGCCAACTTGCCGGATTACTTTCGTCAGCAACAAAACCAGCCAGTATCTCGCTCTCACTTTAAGCACCTGGTGATTTTAAAGTTGCTGTCGTACCGGAGCCAGAACATGTACAGCTTATTTGTTTTAAGGAGGAGATTGAGAAGGAGAAGGACGAGGTTTTTGGCATTCAGGGCGTTTTGTTGGGCAGTGACAGCAATGTCCGTAGAAAGGAACGCGTGAGTCGCAGCCAAGAGTGGCGGGATTGATATGTGCTTCTTTGCTTCACTGACACGGAGTTCAGACACAATTTTCAAATGACGAGAAGAACGTTTGTGTACATTTGTGACGTATAGGTGGGATGAATGCGACCTGGCCGTTCAGACTGAAGTCGCATGACAAAAGATCAGATATGTATCAGTTTTAGGAGCACATATCCAAGTGTAAAAGATCAGATACAGGTCGCATAGGGGCAAAAAAATTGGATTTGGGTCACTTCAGGCTGCAGTTTGAACGTTGCTTAAGTGAACAATTTCTTTTACCTAGTGCTTTTCTTTTTTTTTTTTCGTAAAGATTGTCAGTTCCTGGACTGATCTAAATTCTAGGTTTATGGAGTCTTAATTTGCAGGGTTTGTGTGTTAAACATGTGTGAATGAAACAAAACACAACTCCAGGTCTGTTTGTGATGAGGAAACAACATTATAACATAGATCAAAAAATAGTGTAATATGGGACCTTTAATAATAAGCAAAACACTAAAATTTCTTATTGTGACGTCCCTAAACTCACCAGTACACTTGTAGCTCCGTTGGCCAGAGGTCCGTAGGTGATGTAGGAGTGTCCAGTGATCCAGCCGATGTCCGCGGTGCACCAGAACACGTCTCCATGGTGATAATCGAAAACGTACTTAAATGTCAGATACGTGTACAAGAGGTACCCGGCTACTGTGTGGAGGACGCCCTGCAGACACAAAGAGGTAAGATAACGGAATAACAGAGCTTCAGACAGAGCATGCCTACAGTGAGCATCACACCTCCAGGGCATGTGGATGACATCAGCTGCAAATACCGACGGTTTTTATCTAATCTGTGATGATGTGACGTCTAGATGGCGGCAAGAGCTAAATTTCCCTCCTGATGATATTATAATCTTCAATCTGACCATTTCTAATAGTGACAAGCCATTTTAATTTGCTATATGACAACAAACATTTAGCATTTTAGCTGCCCCTATCTACATTAAGTATTGGTCTATAGAATTTATGCATTATGCCACTTTTTGGTTGGCGGTGCGTCACAAGTGCTTGTTTCTATGGAGATGTCGTTGCTCTGCCTGGAATGTCCCACACTATGACTTTAAACAGCTCTAACTTACATTTATTCAATTAAACGTGGTTTTATAGCTCAAAAATACCTAGAAAAACTGACATTCTGACTCTGAGCGTGGTCGCCTCTCCGCAGATCTGACCTGTGACTTGATCTGGTTTGGTATCCATGAAGATAGAAAGGTTTAATGCCATACTGTGAAACATTCCAGACAAAGCAATAACATCTCCATGGAGAAAAGCATTTGATGGACCCTCCATCAGAAAAATGACACCGTGCACCTTTAAATGTTTTTTTTAGTCTGAGTCTTTGAGCCCCTGCTGGCCAATGTGAAAATTGCCCCATGTCCATGATATATTTTTTTAGAATTTAATCCCCAAATTTGGTACAGATTTGTGGATTTATGTGTCTAAATGTGACACATCAAATCTGAACTCATTTCAACCAAAAAGCAGACTAGATGCATTTTACAACCACACAGTCAAAGTGGCGTCAAATTTTTTATCCACTATGGCAGATTTCCTGTTCATCAAAGAGCCATGCGCCAGTTCAACTTTTGCCTTGTCTTATTCTTCTCCATCACTATTCAAAATTCCGTTTGCCTAGGCCAAACTATGCTTGTCCCCACTCCCACTTCCCACTTCTAGGTGGCGCTGTTGAGTCGGGTCACTACGGACATTGTAGTGATGCCCATTTTATCAATTTTTTTGCCAGGGTAGTCAATCTCATACAAGGTTTGGGGACTTTTCGTTCATGTTCAGGGGGTAAAAAATGTGATTTGATACCAAGAACAAAAAAAAGAAGAAGAAACCGATGAAGAACAATAGCCCACTATGACAAAATGAAATGTAATCTGAAACTCAGCAGTATAGAGCTCTCTGAGTAAGTCTTAATGAATCTAACGTACTAGACAAAGGAGAAGTATTTCCAGTGAAACATGCAGAACACAGACTCTTAAACGCGTGTGCACCTTGGGTTTTCCTGTGGAGCCGCTGGTGTAGAGGATAAACAGAGGCTCTTCTGACTCCATCCACTCAGGCTCACACTGGTCAGAGCTGTCCCTCATCACCTCGTCCCACCACACGTCACATGACGGGTCCCAGGGCGTCTGTGCGTCAGAGAGAAACAAGCAGAGTGTGAACAGAGACAATATGGCTGTATAACAGAGACGATATTTGACTGGTGTATCAGGAATGTGCCCACATGTCCCTGTGCATATCCTGGTTGAGTTTGCGGTCATCTCTTTTTAGGTAATTTTGAATTCTTTGAATAGTCACTTTTTCGATATATACTGTATATCTCTCACCTCTGTAATGAAACCTGTGCAGTCATAACTGTATCATGTGTACGTATATAACCTGTAGTTTGTTATTGTATATAACATATACTCTGTTAGAATGTATGTAACCTGCAGTTTGTTTTAGTGTATATAACCTGTAGTTTGTGGTTATATATAACCTGTAGTTTGTTATTGTATATAACCTGTAGTTTGTAGTAGTGTATATAACCTGTAGTTTGTTGTTGTATATAACCTGTAGTTTGTTGTTGTATATAACCTGTATTTTGTTGCAGTGTATATGACCTGTAGTTTGTTGTTGTATATAACCTGTAGTTTGTTGTTGTATATAACCTGTAGTTTGTTGTTGTATATAACCTGTAGTTTAATAGTGTCTATAACCTGTAGTTTGTTGTTGTATATAACCTGTAGTTTAATAGTGTATATAACCTGTAGTTTGTTGTTGTATATAACCTGTATTTTGTTGCAGTGTATATAACCTGTAGTTTGTTGCAGTGTATATAACCTGTAGTTTGTTGTGGTGTATATAACCTGTAGTTTGTTGTAGTGTATATAACCTGTAGTTTGTTGCAGTGTATATAACCTGTAGTTTGTTGTGGTGTATATAACCTATAGTTTGTTGTAGTGTATATAACCTGTAGTTTGTTGCAGTGTATATAACCTGTAGTTTGTTGCAGGCAGCTCCGCTCTTGGTCCTCAGAGCCTGATGTTTAACCACCAGACACTTGGCCACACTGGAACAGTCCCTGAAAGGAAAGGAGATTTGAACTTTTATATATATAACAGTGGCAGAGTGGTTAGCGCATGCCTTTTCTGTGAAGAACTGTGCTGTTTTTCAGTAGAACAATAAGATGTTAATTTGTTTCAGTATTATCGTTTATCGTGATATTTTCTGTAGAAATTAGTGTTGTAAAAAGTATCGACTATCAGATACTAATCAATATGAAAACTAGTATAAAAACTGGATACTCATTTGAACAGGTATTGATACTAAAACATCACATTCACAGGACAGAATTTTTTATTTTTTTATTATTATTATCATTGTGGCATCGGAGTCAGTATTAAGTGTCGAGTGTATTCTGTATCGAAAATTAGAACACTAATATTGATAAATTTATGCTTCATAAATTACAAATGAAATGTGATTACTAAGGTTTAAGTTGTATTTATAAAGACTTGGATACAGAGCTACAGGTTGAAGCTCACAGTTGTCAATATATTTCCTCAGGGGGTCGACTGAATGGATCTGAACTGACCAATCACAGCTGTCCGTTTCTGGTTGCTAAGGGGGATGTGATGTTTCCTTAGTAACCTCTCCTCACTGTGAAAAAATATCATCTTTTCTCTAAATGGTGTTTTAGTCTATGAAATATCCAGATGAAATGTATTATTGATTAAAAACTACTTTTTTTTTTAATCTATGAAAAATGTTTAATGGATTTCTATGAAGCAAGATAATATATAAAGCATTTCAAAGCATCCTCAGTTCAGTTCAGTTAAAATTAAAAAATAAAATTACCTCTCTTTGCATTTCTCAAGAGCTTCATCCGCAATCTGCTTTAGGTTTATCAACTTCTCTCCTCGATACACTCCATCTGAATAACAAAAAAAAAATTTAAAACCAAAATATTCTATAATTAAACAATAAACGATAAACCGTTATTAATTAAAATGTGTTAAAATGGCTCAAATCTGATTTATTTTACCTGCTGTGATCAGGACAGAACTCTGGGCATCTACAATCCTCTCACACAGAGACTCGGAGGAGAAACCTGCAAACTGCAACAGACAGAGGGAACGTCAAAACAGTATTACTTGAGTAGAAGTAGAAATGACTCAAGTGAGAGTATTTGGAAAAAGTACAACTCAAGTAAAGTAGGAGTAACTTAAAAAAAAAAAAACTGTCAGGATATAACATCTGATTTATAAATTGAAGTGAATATCATTTGAAGGACAAAACATTAAATAATGCACAAAAAAGACACAAAAAATGAGAAAAAACAAACAAACATTAGATCTGAAGGAATAGGGCAAGAAACACAAATGTTCAAATCATTTTATCCACCCCTGGTTTTTGCCCAGTATCTGTCTTTTTAACCAGTTTCATCTTGTAGTTTGGGGATTCAAACTAAAAAGCTGTGCTTACAAATAATAACTGATAGAGGACAAGAAGAAACTAGGCTTTTATAGTTGCCAGAGGTATTGTAGTAGTAAAGAAACTGCACTTTTCACAGTACTTTTCTAGCAGCATACTTTTACTTCTACTAGAGTAATATTTTTATTGAAGGAACAGTACTCTAACTTAAATGGACAGTTTGGAATTTTGGACATAGGACCTCATTTCCTCGTGAGTCAGAGTGTTGGAGACATGTGGAGACACTTTTTTAAATATTCCATCCAGTCCTTGTATTTGCAGAGGTCACTGGTGCTAGGCTAGTGCATGTCAATGGCCATAGTTATCCTGCCACTAAAAAATAGTCTTACCCACTCCACAAAACACCCGAAGCAAATCTATTATTACACTAGACTATCGATGTAAATGTCTGTGTTAATAGAATAATGTCTGAAATAAAACTAACCTTGTATCGCATGAATCGTCGCATGTTAAGGGACTATTTTCTCATATATCAGTCCGCCTCTTTCAAGCTTTCTATCAGGAAGTACAACTCACTGCTGCTGCTCAGACATTAATCCTTCAAATGCAAGGTTGATTTTACTTCTAGAATTATTCTATCAACAGAAAGATTCACATCGACAGTCTGGTGTAGTAACAGATTTTCTTCAGGTGTTTTGTGGAGTGGGTAAGATGGTTTTTAGTGGCAGGATAACTATGGCCATTGACATGCACTAGCCTAACACCAGCGACCTCTGCAAATACAAGGACTGGATGGAATATTTAAAAAAGTGTCTCCACACCTCTCCAACACTCTGGCTCACTAGGAAGTAATATATATAATAATTAACAATAATAATATGTCCAAAATTCGAACTGTCCCTTTAAGTAAAAGCCGTGGTTCCTCTTCCCACTGTGAGTAAATCTACACGTAACAAAAGCTTTATGTGACAATATGAAATGATTTGAACGTTTGTGCTTCTTGCAACGCTCCTCCACCTCCTTTACTGTAGTTCTAATATTCGATGTTTATCCATTATTTAATCTTTTATCCTTCAAATTACTTTAACTTTTTAATTAAAATTATAAATCAGATGTTACGTCCTGACAGTTACTCTTTAAGTTACTCTTACTTGAGTCATTTCTTGGACCACAACTTTGTATTTCCACAAATATTTGAAGTAATCTTACTGTTACTTGAGTACAGTGTTTGTATACTCTACCCTTCTCTGATAATAGCAGTGAGCGTCAGAGAAAGTACATAGCAGATTTTCCTCACCACGACAGAGTGTACAGCCCCGATCCTCGCGCAGGCCAACATGGAGTAGACGAGCTCTGGGACCATGGGGAGGTAGATGGACACTCGGTCTCCCTTCTGCACGCCTGCACCACGACACAAACGCGTGCACTCAGTTAAATACAGTAACAGCCATCGCCGCCAGGGGGCTATGTTAAGAGGTGATGAGGTACAAAGCGATTTACGACCAACATGTTTATTCTGGGAAGTGTCTGGAAGAGTTTCAAGTAATATCCGGGTAGTAACACAATTGTACATGAATTTAAAGGTCCTATGTGACACAAAATGGACTCTTGTGAGCTTTAAACATGTTAAAGCTAGTCCCCATGGAGATGTTATTGCTTGACTAAAATATTATGTTACAGTATTTTGTTAAACACGTCAATTAATTACATCATTTGTTTTTAAATTGCTGAAAAATGCCTTGAAAAACATTTTTACTGTGAGTGTGTTCACCTCTCCACAGATTTGACCTGTAACTTGGTACCTACACTTGAAAAGTTACATGTCTTTTCTGACTTAAAATCAAAAGATATAATAATTTCGCCAGTCTTTATGATGTTATATAATGTTATATAACTTTACTGATCCACACGGGGAGTTACTTGGACACAAAAGCTCAAAATACATCATAAATACTGGTACAAATCTTAACGACAAAGAACCAGTGTAGTTTTGTTGATCTGGTTCATGGTTCATCTGTGTAATTATTGGGTCAATCCACATAACAGAAAAGCTGAAAGCATAAATTAAAAAAATATATGTTTCACAATCGCTTCAGAATATGAAGGCATTTCTCAAGCCCAACTCAAGGCGTGATTATTGTTGTCAGTTATAGACTAAAAAGCAGGGCTGTCCAAACTGTGATCTGGGGGCCAAATGCCCAAATGATCCAGGGTAATTTTTTAACTGCACAAAATTAAGCAATTCTACTGCTATTACTTCACATTGTATTATGAAGCAGGCCTGAAATGAGTGTTCAAAACTTTTTTAAAACCTGAAAGGCAAACAGCATTTGTCATCAGTCTATGGCACTCTGCTACAGATAGAAGACTATAGACTACAGACAGAACAGACTATAGAACAGTGTTACCCACTTTTTTTCTGGGACCCCATATTTTAAAAGTCACAAACCTGTTATTGTTAAATTACTGATCCAAGTCAATAGACATTATTTGTAAATCACAAAATAAAGGTGGATTTGACCATTATTGAACATTAATGAGGATATTTTATTGTTGACTGAGTGATCGTGTCTCTCTGAACAATTAGTTTTACTCAAGTTTTAAACAATGAAAAACAGTCATTGAAGCAGCAATAAAAGGATCCATAAGTTGCCTATTTGAACATTAAATGTAGCCCATTTCTTTTTCTTTTCAACATTCAATTAAACCAGCAATACTGGAACAAATGTCAATAAATTAATTACAAAAATATTAGAAATTATACATAACATGTCTTAACATTTACATGTGTCAGAACTATATGTTGCAGACCTGCATGCAGATCGTGACAAGGCGACCAAAAAAAAATTTCTTGCAACCCACCTCAGGTCACGACCCAGTCTTTGGGAAACAACTGTATAGATTATAGACTGTAGACAGTATGGACCGGGGCTGGGCAATTATTTTTTCTATGGGGCCACATGAGAAACAGAAAATACTGTGGAGGCTCAAAATGCTTAAGTCACTTCTGCATAATATTAATTGTATTTCTTTATTAAAAGCAGTAAATGTCATTGTTTTGATGAGCTGGGAAGACTGGTAAGAGTTTATGTTATGACTGAGTGAGGTTGCCTTACAAAAAATGTCATTAAAAAAACAACTTTAAAATAAAAGCAATGCAGCTTTAGTCCATTCATGAGGTAAAATTATAAAATATGTTTAGTTGTTGCTGTGCAGTGCCCAGGTCTGGTCTAGATTATAGATGTAATGTCTCACCCAGTTTCTTGAGCACATTGGCACATCTGCAGACCTGGCTCAGCAGTTGACTGTAGGTGATCTCTGAGTGATGGTCTGGAGAGTTACCCTCCCTGAAAGTACAAAACACAGATCAAACACAACAGGAAAAAATATATATATACAAGAAAATGTAAATTCGGATTACATATGGATCATTATGACAGTGCAGGTGTCTGTGTGTGTCTGTTAAAAAGGTCATGTCCATCAGGTCCAATATGTGGGATGTCGTTGTGTAAACACTGAAAGATCCCTTCTGAAATCTGCTGCATCAGCAACAGGAGCGGTTTACAAAGCAAATATAGAATGAACTCATGTGTACTCAAAACCAAGTATATCCTGCATTATGTCATTCAAACGCTTCAGAATTCAATTAGGATACTGAAAACACTGCAACTGGATTTTGATACTGAGGAACTGGCTCGATACTTTCAATTTTGATACCACAATGTTGATAATAAGGCCCTTTTTACACAATAGAATGTAATTTTCAACACTAAATAATAATTACCATTTAGTCTTAAAGCTTGTATAAGTCTGGTTGTCCGGTTTAAGCAATATTATTTAGTATCGATACTTGTTCAAATGTGTATCCAATTTCGGCACTAGTTTTGATATCGATTAGTATCTGATATTTGATTTTTGTCAACCCTATCGCTTATTTTTTTTTTGTTTCCCTTTGAGAGCTCAAGTCTGTGCTCCTCTGTGTTTTAGTTTTAGTTTACCTCTTTTACCTTTACCTTTTCTAAAATATCTGTAGATAATGTATTAATTATTATTTTTTAAGGCTGTAAAAAGAGATGATTAAAGTGTAAATGCAAGTATGAAGTGGTACAAAATGTGTCTCTGCTGTTTTCAAATCACTGTCTATTGTCAGTGCCCCACAGTCAGTAATAATATGACATCTGTACATGTGTTGTACTTTGGGTATACGTTGGGTTTTATTGGTCACATGTCTTGATCACATGAACCCACCAAAAATCAAGCAAGTCATCTGAAGTTTTGATAATTTTACTCCTGAACTCTAGAACCTCCTGAACTAAGACTCTTGCATGTCAAAGCAGTCCAGTCCGTGTATTAATATCTCTACTATCTGTACTCTTCGCATAACTTTCATGGCATGTGTTCAGCTGGCCTACTTTGTTCCTCATGTTTTACTCTAGTTTGTTTCAAGTATTAAGCTCATAATAAAATAAATACTATGACTAATACTACTACTAATATCAAGCTTCTAATTTTTGTCAGTATGGCCCTTACGATTCAATACGATTCAATAAAAAATAAAGGCTAAATCATGTCTGTAATACTAAAAGTCTTTGTTAAACCACTTCTTGTGCAAAGTTGATATGAAACACAAACATTTTAATCATCAAAACACTGAATATGTCAAATGTGTCACATAAATGAGTTTCCTTCAACTGAACAAGCAAGAAAACTTTAGCTGTAACAAAATAATTTAGTAAAATATACCAAAAAATACTCTTGGCGATATATCAATACAGCAGCCCACGATATCGATACTGTATCATCACATTAAACTACACAATATATCGATATTTCAATATTTTTGCACACCCCTACATGCAGTGGTGGAAGAAGTTCTCAGTTTTGTTCTACTTAAGTTAAAAAAATGTATGTAAAGAGTAAAAAGTAAAAGTATTTTGGCTTGTGTATTGCTCAAACTATGCCTCAGTCTTATCAGCAGGTCTCACACAATAATAAATACTTTTACTTTTCAGTCCTATTCAAACATGTAGTGGAGTAGAAAGTAAAAACTATCCACTTTAAAATGTACTTAAGTGAAGTATAGATACTTAAAAGCACAATACTTCACTACTTTAACTTTGTTCCCTTCCTCTTCAGTCTGATAACATCTGATCTTTCACAGTAGTTCAGTCTCTTGGCTCGTGTAGTTTAACCAAGGACAGATTTCATAGACAGAGCGGCCAGTTTGTTTTGGAGCGGGGACAGAGTAGAGGTCACACCAGCTGCTATTTACTGTGAATACTTTACATAGCTCCTGAGTCCTGGTCACTTACTGTGCACAATCACAGTGCGTGATACTGCTAACTCACATAATGTACTCATGTAGAGAGTATTAACATGACAGCCAACTTTGGTTCAGATGTTTTTCTCGTCTAATTGAAATAGTACTCTGCATTTATATTAGTTGATCACAGAATTATAACACTGTTTGTTACTAAACAGTGTTTGTTTTCTAATCTGTGTCATAATGTTCTTTCCCCATCATACACATACCCGGAGCTGTGTTTTGATTCATTTACATATGTCCTACACAATTAGGTTGAATTCTCCTCTCAAAATAAAAACACTGTTCCAACTTGTGATGTCACGTCTCATACAGGAAGTGCTCCACTGTGCTTTTAAACTTCATGCACCTTCACCAGAATCATTTGGATGATTTCAGTCCTTGAATTACCAATCTCTACTGAACTAAAGGTAAAAGTTAACTTGAAAACTAAAGCTTCATGACATCACAAGGTGGAACAGAGCGTTTTGAGCTTTAGAGATGTAGACGGACTGATAATAAAGAGTTACTTAAACATGTGTGAATGAAACAAAACACAATTCTGAGTATGTTTTTGATTAAGAAACAGCATTATAACATATTGTAAAGCTCTCTAGAATCCATTTTGTGTAATATTGGACCTTTAAGAGCAAGTAATAGTAATAAGAAAAGTCTGAACAATGCAAATTTGCTTTCTAGCTCCAGTTTATGTTGAAGCAATTACAGTACAGAATGCTGAAAATGACTCTATTCTCTCTATTGTCTAAATATACAGTGTTTCTATCATTATGGTATTGGAATCAGTATTGAGTATCAAGTCTAGGGATGTAACAGTATCAGAAATATTATGATATCGTATCGTCAATAGTCTCACAATAATATCGTGGGCTGTCAGAATATATAGAATCACAAGTTCCTTTGCTTAAATGCTTGACTTTATAGTAGCAACAGCTTATAAACATCACGAACTACATATCCCATGCTTCATTTCAGCGCAGACAAGATAAAGAAATATGTTTTTTATTTAAATTCTTGGGGTTATGACGGAAATAATTTACACCAAAAACTTGTCAAGGTATTTTAAAACCAAAAAAGTAATCATGTTTAAAAATAATAATATTTTTAAACTGCATTCACGCTTCCTGGTTTGATTCCGGTTTAGTTCTGTTGAAGTCCTGATATAGTCATGGTCTAGTCCAGGTTTAGTCCTAGTTTAGTCCCAGTTTGAGCATATATTGTGTGCAAGAGTGAGAAAAATGCAATAAGAATTTTTTTATAACTTCTTTTGTACCACCTTTTCTCTCTTTTCTCCTCTGCCCTTGTGCCTTTGAGCAAACTCACTCACAAGTAATAAATTTCCCTTCCTGGTTTGATTCTGGTTTAGTTCTGTTAAAGTCCTGATATAGTCATGGTCTAGTCCAGGTTTAGATTCGGGTTTAGTCCTAGTTAAATCTCAGTTTGATCAAGTCTGCAAGTGACTATAACAATACAATAATTTCTTTTTGCACCACCTCATCTCTCTCTTCTCCTCTGCCCTTGTGCCTTTGAGCAAACTCACTCACCAGTAATAGGCCACCTTCTCTCCCAGGTTTCCCTCTTTGACGTGCCGGTCCACGATGTTGTAACATATATTTGTCTTCGCACCCTCCAAACATTTGACAAAGACGTTTCCTTTTGTCACGTCAAAGTTGTACTGAAGCGCTGGTCCCGTGGCGGGTTTCTTCCAGAAGAACTCATCGGCTACATCTTTCCAAAAAGCTGAAAAATAAAACGGTATATTGTAAAATCTGATAATATCTAAACCAGATATTCATTTGAGCAGGTATTAATATTAAAAAAGTCATACTGACATATAAAACCACATGGGAATATAAAAGAAAGTACTAAAATTTAATGTTGAAAATCACCTTCTTTTGTCTAAATAAATCATGTTTTTTATTATTATAGTGGTATCAGAATTGGTAATAAGTATCATGGAGATGTTATTACTTTGTCTGGAATGTTTCACAGTTCAGTTCATGGGATTAAACTTCATCTGTTGTCATGGAAACCAAACTAAACCAAGTTACGGGTCAGATCTGTGAAAAGACGACCCTGCTCACAGTCAGAATGCCTGTTTTTCTAGGTGTTTATGAGCTATAAAACCAGCTGTAATTCAATAAAAATACTGTGGAACATTCCAGACAGAGCAATAACATCTCCACAGAAACAAGCAGGTGATGGACCCCCAACCAAAATGTTCCACAGTGCACCTTTAGTACTGAAATAGTGTTTGAATTATTAGTATTGTGACAAACAAATGAACAAGGGCAGACAAATGTTTTTTCTAATCTTATCTTATGTTCCCTTTAATACTTGATTAATGTTTGACTAATGCTTTTGTTTTATTTACAAAGAGAGAAATTCCCCGCCTTATGAAATTCAGTGGAGATAGGCCACGTGCACGTTTCCATGGAGATGATATTGTGTTTCCTAGAATATTCAGCAATAAGACAATAGCCTTATCTGTACAGCATTTATTCAGTTATAAGTGTTTTTATTGCCTACATACATCCATACTGTGAGCCGGGGCACCTTTCCACAGATCATGACCAGTAATATAGATGGTCCAGGATGGTGTTACAAGCTTGGAGATAGATACATTTAATGCCACACTGAGAGATATTCCAGACAAAGCAATAAGATCTCAGCAGGTGACGGACCCTCGTCTAAAAATATGACTTAGTGCCCCTTTAAGAGAGGTTTATTTTCTTAAATTATGGTAAAATAAAACATGTAAGTAAAACAACGATGTACATTTTAGGTCAGAATATTGATACAGAACCATATTTGTTGAGTGAACAGATTCAATTACAAGTCATTCTCAGGTAAGTTTAGAAAAATAGGAGCATACAGTATATTCTTTGTCCTTTTATAACTAAAGTGATAGTGTGTAATTGTCTGGAGGTGTCATATCAACTTCGTGATTCCATGTAAATATTACGTTAAAACCTACGTTCTAACCATACGTTCAATCAATCAATCAAACTTTATTTATAGAGCGCTTTTCATACAAAAAAATGCAACACAAAGCGCTTTAGAGTGATTAAAAACAATTCCACATTTCATTACACCAGATTACTATCCATGACATACAGTAATTATCTTTTTTAAAAATTATTATTACTACCAACTATCTGAAAACTGACATAGCTATCTTTTTTACAACTAACTATCTGGAATATGGAAACTTATACTAAATGTCTAGAATCTGGGACACTAACTATCTGGAACCAGTGCATAAAGAAAAAAGAAACCCCTCAACAAAAACATAGTACAGACATAATCGACAAGACAAGCAACCGGGGAGGAGAGGGAATACGTTAGGTACTTTATTTGTCATACTGTGGAATATTATAGCCAAAGGAACAATACATCCAAAGAAACAAGCAGGGAGAGGTCAAATAAGAGTCGCTCACAGTAAAGACACGTGTTTTTCAGTGCAATAAAAACATCCATAACGGAAAAATTATTATTATTTGAATCTTTTTTTTTTAACATACTGTAGCTTTAAGGAGGTACAATTTATTTTCTATTTTATTAAGTCAAAATGTAGTGCTACGTGTGTCACATCACATTCATTTCCAGCTAAATCAGCACTTCTGATTCTGTTCCTCATTTTTGTAAACACAGAATTTCCTCACACACGATGTTGGAATTTCTTGGGTCATACTTTATTTATTGACAAGATTAACTAAAGAAATGCCTCTTTTCTTTAGCTCTACTTTAATTTTCTTATTACTCAGAAATGAATTAGACTCTATATGAACGTACTTTATTATATTTATATTATATTTTTTTACTGCATTTCTCCAAAGCCAAAGCAAGTTTCAAAGTGCATAAAGGTACAGTATGTAACTTTATAGAAATAGAAAGTTAAGAGATTGATAGATTATAACCAAAAGGCCAAACAAGAGTCAGGTTTGTGGAGATGCAAGCCTCATTCAGAGCAAGGACATTAGATTTTCTAAGTTTTTCAGTGCAATAAACACCACCAAAACTAAACAAACATGCTTTTATCTTGGCTAAAAAGTTACTTACTGTGGCTTTAAAGATAGAAATAACATTATTATGAGCAATACAAATGATCCTACCTTCTGGATTCTCGATAGACTTCTTGTAGCGTGCCAAGTAAGTGTTAAAATCTGGAACGTGAGCATCCCGTTGTAGATGTAAAGGCGGGTAGTACACTTTGTCCTCTGAATCTGGAACAACCATTGTGTTCAGAAGAGCTTGACGAGTTTACCATGAGCTAAAAGTGCTACTGTTGCTACTGTCCTTGTCCCTGCCTCTGCCTCTGTCTCTCTCTCTCTCTGTGTAATATCCTCTTGTGCTGTGTGCCAAAACTGAGCATGCACAGAGACCCACCTCACATGCTCCTACTGTCTGCTCAGAGCCACAGCGGCCAATGGGATCGCAGGAATCAGCACTCCCACTTTCGGATTGGTCGGGCCCTCCCTGGTCTGTTGATGGCATCATTGTCCTAAAGCGTGGAGGTAAAACACAAAAGGAGGGATAAGGGATGAGTGCCAAGGGTAATACCAATTTGTGTACCAGACCATGAGGGTGTATGACATAACAAGATTTCAGCTCAAATAACTTTAAAGGTGTACTATGCAGAGTAGTCAAATATTGTGCTTAATATTCAAAACAATATTATTAAAGTAGAACAAAGTACAAAGTCATGGTCAAAGAAATTACTCAAGTAAGAGGAAAAAAGTATTTAGGTAAAGTACTACTGAAGTAAAAGTAACAAAACAATAAATAATGCACAAAATCTGGTATTTTCTAGGGATAGACCATAGACTGTTTATATAAATGGACATAACTAATTTGCCACCATGTTCCAAACAGGAAGTGAGCCTGGGCATCGACTACGGCTCCAATTCATGTTGTATTGAGAAAATGTCGCTCTCTCTCTGTAACTGCTGTAGTGAGCCTCGCCGTTTTGATCTTAAAATGTTCATTGTTGGAGCCATGTTACCTGTGTGTACCTCCCGCCACTGTGAGGCGCTATTTGTAACACAGTATTTGGACTCTTTTATGAAAGACACACATCCGAGACACCACACACACTGCAGCCATAGCCAGCCATTGGCTGCTACAGTTTGTAATAAACAACCCTACATGATCCTGGTGTTTTTATTTATCTGTTTTGTTCCTACATAGATTCTTATTCCTAATATGGAAATTGGCTGCAAATTCGCCCCATAACTGCCAGCCTCGATGAGCTTCATTTGACTGGAGCAGAATGCTGTGGGTGGCATCACACTCCACTTATTTATACAGTCTATGTCAGACCTGGGCATTGTACAGCTCCCGGGCCACATACGGCCCTTTGGGTGACTCTGACCAGCCCGTTTACGCTCATTTGGAATTACAAAATAAAAATATTTTATCATTTTACCTCATGCATGGACTAAAGCTGCATTGATTTTATTTTAGAGGTGTTTTTAATTACATTTTTGCAAGGCAAAATTTTTCCTTGCTTAGTCAGAACATAAACTCTTACCAGTCTTACCAACTCGTCAAAACAATGATATTTTCTGCTTTTATAAAGAAAGACAATTAATGTTATGCAAAACTGAGTTAAGCAGTTTGGCCTGGCCCTCCACAATATTTTCTGTTTCTCATGTGGCCCCATGGGAAAAATAATTGCCCACGCCTGCTCTATGTGATACACACAAAAATGAGACAAACTAAATCAGATCTGAAGGAGCGCTGCAAGAAACACAAACATTCAAATGATTTCACATTGTCAACATAAAACTTTTGTCACTTATAAACTCACAGTGGGAAGACGAACCAAAACTTTCATTCAAATAAGAGTAGACTACTGTTACTTTTATAAAGTTGCACTAAATAATTTTGTAGACCTGAAAGAACAAAGCAGAGAATTTGATTTGGGGACATGACTTTGACTTATACTAATTCTTACCTAATTCTTGTGTTTGTTAAAGAAATTATAAAGTGACAGTACAGTAGAAATACATGAGCCAGCCCTTGTAGTAAAAGTTTTACAGGAGTAGTTTTGAAGACTAGATTCCCTTCACAGCAGAATAAAAAGCACATATGTTAATTGAATCCATACAGTGACAGCACATGACTCCCATATACATTTATTCTCCTAGTTCAAGCTACTTAGATGTTTATAACAGCATTATAATTGTATTTTATATTGAGCGACTTATAGAAGATACTATCATAAACATTGAAAGCGAATTATATTTGAATATGTTTGAAATATGTTTTAGTGATTTTATGTCCACTGTAAAATAAAACCATTATCTACCATTGACTATATAAAGCCTGTAGATCTCTGCTCTTTTGGATACAATGTGAAATGTGCAAAGCAGCTGTGTTATAGCCTCTTACATAACCTGAAGTATGTCCATGTGCAGAGGAGGGTAGGACATTTACTTGAGTAACTTCTAACAGAAATTGTGCTTTCAGTGTACTTTTCTAGCAGCATACTTCTACTTGAGTTTATTTTTTTATTGAAGTAACAGTACTCTTGCTTCATCTTGAGTAAAAGTTTTGGTTACTCGTCTACAAGTGACAAAAGCTTTATGTTGACAATAGCTACAGTTACATTTAGTCTACTTGAGTAACTATTTAAAGACTCTGGACTTGTCAGAGCATTACTTATATTTTTATTGAACAGTACTCTTACTTGAGTAAAATTTCTGGTTACTCTTCCCACTGTGAGTAAGTCTACAAGTGACAAAAACTTTAGCAACATGAAATTATTTGAACATTTGTGTTTCTTGCATCGCTCCTTCAGACAAAATGCTGTTTTCTCATTCTTGTGTCTATACTTTAAAAATATTTTCTGCTTAAAATTACTTTAACTTTAAATGGTACACTACTCTTTAAGTTCCTCTTAAGTTAGAGTGACCTGACATCCCTATTTACCCGGGACAGTCCCAGTTTAGAGCCCTGTGTCCCCTGTCCCAGCAGATTTATCCAAAACCAGTGATTTGTCCCAGTTTTATACAAGAAATGTCCAAGGTGTCCCTATTTTGGACCAATCTGATCTAAACCAAGACCAAACTAAGCTTAAACCAGGACGACATCAGGACTAAAACAGGACAATCACAATTTTTGACTAATCTGACCCCTGCCAACAGTGAAGAGGAGCATAAGTAGTCATTTGTTCAGCCAAATACAGAAAAACATGTTTGCAAATGACCCTAAAGCAAAAAAATGCAGCAAGAGAACTCCCTTAGATTACGACACAAAAATGCACAATCTTGCACGCCCTTTTCAGATTTCTATTTATACCAACTATTCCAACCTGGGTGTGCCCCAGTTTAGAATTCTGAAAATCTGGTCACCCTGTTTTAACTCTTACTTTTTTACTTGAGTAATTTCTTAGACCACTGCTGTGTACTTCCATTTCAATATTATTTTGAAGTAACATTACTCTACATCTGTACCCTATACACTGAAAAAATGGTCTGAGAGGGGTTGCTCAAATTGCAAAAACTAATTTGACAACACTAACATGACTTTTTTACGTTTCTCTGTCCAGCATGTTTAAATCAGGTTGAGGAAGCATGACTTTATCATAATCTCTGGTGAGGCTGCTCCCTCTGGAATTCTCCTCCCCAAAACATTTGGAGGGAAAATTCAAATGTTACAGGACACAGGACAGTTACAGGAGCAGAGGACACACAGTGTGGAGCAGGAGGATTATGAGAGCTGATCTGGAGGTAAGACTTTTTAAAGATTTTATATGTTTCTCTGGACTAGAATGTCGTCAATGTTAAAACATGTTTGTGGTGTTTTATTTTAAATTAGAGTTAATGTAAGAACTGTTTCCATGAGACAAATTGTCTTTGACTGTCCATCTACAAGAGTGTGACAGTTGTACTCAGATTTGAATGTGTTTGTTCCAGAGTCGTCTACAAACAAAGAGTGACGTCCAGAGCTCTGCTGGAGCTGTGGGGAAGTTCATGAATGTTACAGCTGATGTTTCAGAAAAAAGGAAGATATTTGAGAACCAACAAACCACAGACCACAGATGAACAAAGTGAGTAACTCAACTAAAATTATTTTAAACAATTTTTTCAAAATGAACTTCCTATTCCTAAACAGTTATTGTGTTTCTACATGCGGGTGATGTGGCACTAGGAGACTTTATACCAGATGCCCTTCCTGTTAATGCGTTTAGAGGAAGAAAAGCAGCACACGATGAGTTTTGTTTCTGCAGATACAGTTCTAATGTTCATGTGATGCTGTTCTGGTCCATTATAGAATGTATTTAAACATGTACAACAGAGTAGATCATCATAATGTGATCATCATGTGTTATTCCTGTGTCCACAGGCAGAGACCAGAGCTTCTTCACTGGAATAAATCTTCACACTGTCCAGCTCCAAACTGTGTGTCTCTGTACTTGTGCTCTTTGTGTGTTTAAGACAATACAGAACTGTGGAAAACTAAAGACTGTTTTTTAATTATTTTACAGAAATAGACCAATTAAATTTAATTATACATACAAATACATTTCACGATAAGGTAACATAAGATAAATATGCATATTCAGCATGATTTGGTCAAATTTCTTTAACATGAAAAAGTGACATTCATGTTCTGAGAAAAATATGTGTAGAGGGGATCGAAATAAGTTTCAAAGCCTAAACATTATTTTATTGCATGCAACCACTTTCCATAACTTTTTTATGCAAATCCAGCGACCTTTTTTTTTTCAGTGTAGGGTGACCAGAATTTCAAAATCAAAAACTGGGACACTCTTGGTTTGGGGTGATTGTTAATAATAAAATTGTGAAATGAGTTTTAATTAAGTAAAACTGTTCTGCCCATTCATGACGAAGATGTAAGCAAGTATAGTCACATTTCCTTTGCGTTTTGGTCATTTTTAAGCAGCTTTTCTGTATTTTACCTAAGCAAATGTCAATGTATGCCTCTCTTTACTGTTGGCAGGTAAAAAATTGTCAAAAATAGGGACACCTGGGGCATTTCTTGCAGACTCAGACTGAGTTCTATTTTAGCCATAGTTTAGTCCTGGTTTACATCTGGTTTAGACCTGAAATAGACCTGGTTTAGCCCTGGTTTAGTCCTTATATACTTCTATTTTAGCTCTAGTTTAGACCTGGTTTACATCTGGTTTACTCCTGGTTTAGACCTGGTTTAGACCTCATATAGTTCTATTTTAGCCCTAGTTTATACCTGGTTTAGGCCTGGTTTAGACCTGGTTTAGCCCTGGTTTAGACCTCAAATTGTTCTATTTTAGCCCTAGTTTAGTCCTGGTTTACATCTGGTTTAGACCTGGTTTAGTCCTGGTTTAGACCTCAAATAGTTCTATTTTAGCTCTAGTTTACTCCTGGTTTAGACCTGTTTTAGACCTCATATATTTCTATTTTAGACCTAGTTTAGTCCTGGTTTACATCTGGTTTAGATCTCAAATAGTTCTATTTTAGCCCTACTCATGGTTTAAACCTGGTTTAGACCTGGTTT